TGGTAACAGACAAAGAATGGTGTTACATAATGGTAAAGGGGTCAATCAGCGAAGATGTAACATTTACAGATATATATGCACCCAAAATAAAGATGCTCCAAGATATATAAAGCACATAATAACATAACCAAAGGCAGAACTTGACAGCAATACTACAGTAGGGAATTTTAATACCCCACTTACATCATTGGATAGATCATCCAGACAGAAAATAAGGAAACATCAACCTTAAACAACACATTAGATCAGACAGACTTAATAGATATGCAGAACCTCCCATCCAAAAGCAGCAGAATACACATTCTTCTCAAATGTACATGGAACATTCTCCAGGATAGATCACATTAGCCACAAAACAAGTTTCAATAAATTCAAATAAACTGAAATCATCAAGCATCTTTTCTAACCACAGTAGTATTAAACTAGAAACCAATTACAAGAAGGAAACTGAAAAAACTACAAATACAAGAGGATTATACAGCATATTACTAAACAACTACTAGTTCACAGAAGATATCAAAGGAGACATAAGAAAAATACCTACAGACAAATGAAAACAGAAATAGACATACCAAAATCTATGTGATGTAGCAAAAGCAGTTCTAAGAAGGAGGTTCGCAGCAATCATGCCTACCTATCTCAAGAAACAAGAGAAATCTCAAATAAACAATTTAACTTTACCACTAAAGGAACTAGAAAAAGGAGAACAAAGCCTGAATGTAGTAGAAGGAAGGAAATAAAGATCAAAGTGGAAATAAAAGAGAGAGACTAAAAGGGCAATAGAAAAGATCAGTGAAACTAAAAGTTCATTCTTGAAGGAATATACAAAATTGACAAACTTTAGCTAGATTCACGAAGAAAAAAAAAGAGCTCAAGGAAATAAAATCAGAAATGAAAAGATGAGAAGTTACAACTGAAACCACAGAAATGCAAAGGATCATTAGACAGCTATGAACAATCAAACAACAACAAATTGGACAACCTAGAAGAAATGGACAAATTCCTAGAAATTTACAATCTTCCAAGACTGAACCATGAATAGAAAATCTGAATAGATCAATTACTAGTAAGGAGATTGAATCAGTGATCAAAAACCTTCCAACAATCAAAAGTGGACCACACCACTGTACTGGTGAATTCTACCAAAAATTCAAAGATTTAATACCCATCCTTCTCAAACTCTTCCAAAAAAAACTGAAGAGGCAGACAGCTTCCAAACTCATTTTATATGACCAGGATTACCCTGATACCAAAATCAGACAAAAACCTCATAAAAAATCTACAGGCCAATATCACTCATGAACATAGATGTGAAATCCTCAAAAAATATTAGAAAACCAAATTCGATAATACATTAAAAGGACCATATACCATGATCAAGTAGGATTTATTCCAGGGATGCAAGAATAGTTCAACATCTACAAATCAATCAACATGATACACCACATTAACAAAATGAAAGATAAAAGTCATAGGACCATCTCAACAGATGCAGAAAGAGCATTTGACAAAATTCAATATCCATTTATGATAAAAACTCTCAACAAAGGGTATAGAGGGAACATATCTCAACTTAATAAAGGTCACATATGACAAACCCACAGCTAATATCACACTTAAGCTGGAAGTTTTTCCTCTAAGATCAGGGAAAAGACACAGATGCCCACTATCTCTACTTCTATTTAACATAGGATTGTAAGTCCCAGCCACAGCAAGTAGGCATGAAAGAGAAATAAAAGGCATCCAAATTGAAAGGAAGAAGTAAAAGTGTCACAATTTGTAGATGATATGATACTGTATATAAGAAACTGTAAAGACTTCACCAAAAAAACTGTTAGAACAAATAAATGGATTCAGTAGAGTTGCAGGATACATTAATACAGAAAAACATGTTGCATTTCTATACACTAATAACAAGCTAATAGAAAGAGAAATCAACAAAATCCCATGGACAATTTCATCAAAAATAATAAAATACCTAAGAATAAATTTAACCAAGAAAGTGAAAAATCTGTAATTTGATCTGTCCTTTGGAGTGAGTGGTGTGTTGAAGTCTCCTAGAAGGAATGCATTGCATTCTATTTCCTCCTTTAATTCTGTTAGTATTTGTTTCACATATGTTGGTGCTCCTGTATTGGGTGCATATGTATTTATAATGGTTATATCCTCTTGTTGGACTGACCCCTTTATCATTATGTTATATCCTTCTTTATCTCTTGTTACTTTATTTGTTTTGAAGTCTATTTTGTCTGATACAAGTACTGCAACACCTGCTTTTTTCTCCCTATTGTTTGCATGAAATATCTTTTTCCATCCCTTCACTTTTAGTCTGTGTATGTCTTTGGGTTTGAGGTGAGTCTCTTGTAAGCAGCATATAGATGGGTCTTGCTTTTTTATCCATTCTATTACTCTGTGTCTTTGATTGATGCATTCAGTCCATTTACATTTAGGGTGATTATTGAAAGATCTGTACTTATTGCCATTGCAGGCTTTAGATTTGGGGTTACCAAAGGTTAGCTTCTTTACTATCTAACTGTCTAACTTAACTGTCTTATTAAGCTAGTATAAACATAGTCTGGTGATTATTTCTCTCCCTTCTTATTCCTCCTCCTCCATTCTTTATATGGTACGTGTTTTATTCTGTAGTCTTTTGTATTTCCCTGAAAAATCTGTAATTTGAAAATATAAGGCATTGATAGAAGAAATTGAGGAAGACACAAATAAATGGAAAGAGATTCCATGCTTATGATTTGGGAGAACTAATATTGTTAAAATGTCTGTACTACCCAAAACAATCTACAGATTTGATGCACTCCCTATCAAAGTACCAATGACATTTTTCACAGAACTATAACAAATAATCCTAAAATCTATGGAAATACAAAAGACCCTGAATAACCAAAACAATTTTGAGAAAGAACAAAGCTCCCTGATTTCAAACAATACTACAAAGCTTACAGTAATCAAAGTAATATGGTATTAACATAAAAATAGATACATAGATCAATGGAACAGAATAGAGAGCCCAGAAATAAACCACACTTATATGGTCAATTAGTCTGTGACAAAATGGGAAAAGACAATCTCTTCAATAAATGAGTGTTGGGAAAACTGGACAGCTACATGCAAAAGAATGAAACTGTACCACTACTCACATAATATACCTCAAAATAGATAAATGACTTGAATGCAAGACTTGAAACCAAAAATCTCCTAGAAGAAAACATAGGCTTAAGGTCCTTCACATTGACCTTAGCAATGTTTTTTTGGATCTAATTCCAAAGGCCAGGGAAACAAACGCAAAAACAAACAAATGGGACTACACCAAACTAAAAAGCTTCTGCACAATGAACAAAACCATCTACAAAACAAAAGGAAACTTAGTGAATGGAAGAAGATCTTTTCAAAATATATTCAATAGGGGTTAACATCTAAAATATATAAAGAACTCATACAATTCAATAACAAAACATAAACAATCTGATTAAAAAATGGGCAGAGGATCTGACTAGACATTTTTCCAAAGAAGATGTGCAGATAGCCAACACGTACAAGAAAAGATGCTCAAAATCATTAAATCATCAAGGAAATTCAAATCAAAACCATAATGAGATACCATCTTATACCTGTCAGAATGGCTATTATCAAAAAGAGAGGAAATAACTGTTGGCAAAGATGTGAAGAAAAGGGAATCCTCATGCACTGTGAGTGAGAATGGAAATTGGGCAGACACTATGGAAAACAGTATGGAGGTTTCTCAAAAAATTACAAATAGAAATATCATATGATCCAGCAGTTCCACTTTGGGAATTTATCTGAAGAAAGCAAATAATATCAATTCAAAGAGATATATGCATTCCTGTGTTCACTGTAGCATTATTTACAATAACCAAGATAGGGAAACAACCTAAGTGTCCATCAGTAGATGAATGGATAAAGAAGATGTGGTACATATAACAATGGAATATTATTCAGCCACAAAAAAGAAAGAAATCATGCCATTTGCAAAAAAATGGACCTAGAGGGTGTATGTTAAGTGAAATAAGCCAGGGTGGAGAAAGACAAGTGCCATATGATTTTACATATTTGTAGTATCTAAAAACAAAACAAAACAAAATGAATAAAATAGCACTAGACTAATAGACACTGAGAAGTGACTGATGATTACCATAGAGGAGGGGTTAGGATGGGTCGGTAGGGAGAGAGATAAAGGGGCACAAAAATTCTCAATCGTAATATAAATTTGTCACAGTCACGGGTATGGTAGTACAGAATGGGGAATATAGCCAATGATTCTGTAACATCTTTCAATGTTTACAGTAACTGCACTAGTTGAGGTGAGGATTTAGTAATGTGGGTAACTGGTGAACCACTGTGTTGTATACTTGAAATGAATATGAGATTGTATATCAACTATGCTTCAATTAAAAAAAAATTAAAAAAGATGTGATACACACACACACAATGGAATACTAAAAAAGAGTATTTTGCTATTTGTGACAACATGGATGGACCTTGAGGGTATCATGCTAAGTGAAATAAGTCAGATAGGGAAATATACCACATGATTTCACTTATACTTAAAAACAAAACAAAACTCAGACTAATAGATACAGAAAACAGATTGGTGGTTGCCAGAGGTGAAGGAGGTTAGGGGGAGTGATATGGGTGATGGGAATTAAGAAGTACAAACTTTCAGGTTATAAAATAAATGTACAACATGGGGCATTATAGTCTATAATATAGGATTAACTTTGTAAGGTGACAGATGGTAGCATGACTTACCATGGCGACCATTTTGCAATGTATACAAATGTCAAGTCACTATGCTGTACATCTGTAAATAATATAATATTATGTCAATTCTACCTCAATTAAAAAATAGTAATTTTATCTGTCTTTGATGCTCCAGACAACTAGCACAAGAACATGCAGAAATGAAAGGAAAATCAATGTTCATTGATTTCTTGTCGATATTTTCTCTTTGCTTCTGGTTTTAGATTCTGAACTGAAGACATTTTGTTCCAGAAATATACTCATCATTCTTGGCTTTTCCTCTATCATGGCTGTGATTGCTTTGATTGCTGTGGGGCTGACCCAGAACAAACCACTGCCAGAAAATGTTAAGGTAACTCAGATCTGTGTGTCTGTGTTAATGAGGAGGTCTGGGGGTGTGGAGGGAAAGGGAAGTTATGGTAAATCAGAGCATACAGGGAGATTTGAGGCTCTGGCAGCCCAAGAGCAAGCCAGTATCCATTGGATTAAGGGAGTAAAATGGAAATGGATTCTCATTCTGGAAGAGGGAATGTCTGGATTCAATTAGTGGTGGGAAGATAATTGTCTTTATGATTGTTCAGCAGATTAATTAAATCATACTCTAATGGAAACATATATTTTATTTACCTCATCCAGATCTGTATTATACTGTGCTGATATTCTATGATTTAGTACTATCTCTACTTCTTACCCATTGTTTCATTGTGGATGTGTTACAATACTGCACTCTTTGTTCTTTTTATTCTATTATTATTATTATCATCATCAAAATAATAAAACTTATTAGCTCTGTATAAAGCACTTGGAAGTCAAAGATTGTGGATAAGATTTGTTCATCTCCAAAATATTAAAAAAGCAGCAAAATCAACTTAAAAAGACTCCCAGAGAACATATAAATGTATTAAATATAGTGATTTGAAATGAATTCATATGTGGACAGATTTCTTGTGAAATTTCCACATTTGAAAAACTAGTTAATATAATTAAAAAGAATTAGGGTCATTAACTGCTGTGATTTATTTCTGCTTCCTTTCAAATTCATCAAAGTAAAATTTCAAAGACATGAGTATCTCACAAGTACCTTCCAATATGGCTATTTTATTTAATCCATTAATTTAAAAATGTGGTAAATGTAAATTTATATTGTAAATATACAATTTTAAATTTTCATTGAAATTACAGTAAATAAATCTACTAGGGCTTGTAATACATCAATATGCTAATGAGCACATAGGTATATGGAGCAATGATATACGCAGAAGTTAACTTGACCACAGAGGCCCTAAAATACATGTGCAGAAGAGTATTTTCTTGTACTTGAAGATACTAAACTAAGCCTGGGAAGATGGATGCATATGCCAGGCCTCTGAAACTTTTGCCATCCACCAAAATCCCTTGCTGTATAGCAGAGCCCTGGATGTTACATTGGCATCTATTTGCCACACAAATTCAGCTCCGTAGGGCTGTGCACAGCAGTCCCTTTGTTAGCATAAAAGGCTGATACTATCTCATTGTCAACGGTCTCTTGCCTTTTAACTTTGCCTCTCTTGGCAAAACTTCACTCACAGTTGAAGCCTCATGACATCTTGGTTCTGCTATTTGTTTACCAGCTCTGAAAGTACATGATTGCCTTCTTGATTTGACCTTTTTACATGTTCATCATTGCATCATTGGAGAGGGGAACTGCCTAGGAGGCAAATCTATGACACACTTGAGCTCTGTGTTCCCAGTGAATACTTGCGGTCATGGATGACCTTCCTGCTTCGAGTGGTCGTCTTCAAGTCTGTTGTGATTCTGTGTTGTTGTGTTGGCCTGGCAAAACGTAACAAGGTCTTTGGCATTCTTTAACTAAAAGGTATGAATATTTGAAGAGCAGACACTGGCATGTGAAGTGAATTTATAGCAGTATCACTAGTTTATTCTATACAAAGATAGTTTTATATATGCAAATTAGTAATTTTTTGAGGTTCTATACTAATTTTAATAAAAGTCCTGATGTGCGCATGTGCATATAGCACAATTGTACATATATATGCAAAAATATTTTAGGAACTTGTATTTGGTGATGGCTTTAAGCTATGTATGTGGTCCAGTTTGACAGTCATTAGCCACATGCAGTTCTTTCAACCTAAATTAACTAAAATCAAATAAAGTTTATCCCTCAGTTGCACTACCTGCGTTTCAAGTGCTCAGTAGTCTAATGTGGCTACTAAACTGAACACTATAGACATGGAACATTTCTATCATTGCAGAAAGTTCTATTGGACATTGCTGCTTTAGATATTTGATAATATCTTAGAATTAGTGAGAATTTAAGACTTGTGAAATTAAGAGTTTGTTTCTTGTGTGTTGTAAATTAATACTGGGATCATTCCAAAGCTACTAAATTGTTTTGAGTAGTTTGTTGGAATAAAAATATTTCCTTTCAAAAATGACAATTTAAAATATAACAATTATTTGGATATTTGTATGTGGTACATTTGTTTTAAAAACACATATCATCATCTCTTTATGACATACCTCATTCAGCAGCTCTTCATTTGTTCACAAATTTGTGTATTAAGAATTATTTATTACGTATCTGTGTCAGGCAGTAGACTACACAATTGGGAAGCCAATATAAAAATGACTGAGCTTACTGTCTGAGGAAGGAGACACATCTAATAGATGACGCAGATTACTAATTACAATTCCGATTAAGTCCCACAAATGAAAGTTTTGGGGGCCAAGGAAATCTTTTCTGAAGAAAATGACATTAATAAGAACATGTGAAGGCTGATTAGAAGTTAGTCAGTTTAGAGATGGGTAAAGAGTATTCCAGGCAGAAGGAAAGCAAGTGCAAGAATCTCACAGTAGGATGTATTTGGATAATTTCCAGGAATTGGTCAGAGAGCAAGATGGGGCCATGTGTTGGATAAAGATAGGAGAGTGAGGGAGGTGATGTGGGCAAGGCATTGCAAGTTAGGTTGAGGGTCTTAGTTTTAATCCTGAGAGCAATGGGAAGCCAGTGATAGCATCAGATTTGTGTTTTGAAAAGATCACTCTTGCTGCAGTGAATTAGTGGGGAAGGATAAAACTAGAACTATCTGTACCTAAGTGTCCCTTGGGGAAGTGCGTTTGTCCTGGTGGACCTTGGTGGGGAGGACTGCTTGGTTCACCATTTCTTAATTGCCTGCTCATCACTGAACACTAGAAGTTAGTGAGCTGTCAGATATTCTATTTAGCAGAAACACTGAATATTCTGGCACACAGAGCTCCACAGGGTTCTCTCAAAGGCACCAGATTGACCCAACACCAAACCACATGCCTTGATTAAAAGCTTCCACATTGATGGAATGCTGGCTCAGGGACCAGACTGAGCTTTCTAGTTTCACAAAGAACTAACATTCTGCTCTTTGATAAGTATTTGTAATTTTACCTTTTTAAGGAGTTGTAAAGATTTGCTCCAATTTTCAACCTCAAGTACTCCTGGAAAATATCTCTATTATTCTTATTCCACTGGATTTTACTGTTGCTGGTTTTAAAATACAACACCTGGAGATGGATAGTAGTGTTGGTTGCACAACAGTATGAATGTACTTTATGCCACAGAATTGTAGACATAATGGTTAATACGGTAAATTCTGTATTTTGTGTATTTTACCACAATTAAAAAAATAAAAACAACAAAACTGCAGTTTGCATTAAAGGTCTGGTAACTCCAGTTAAAGGAAAAAGAAAGGAAGGAAGTAGTCTCCAATTGTGTATAGGCCCTGCCAGCATCACAGTAGCTAATGGAGACCTGATTTGTTTAGAAAATTAAAGTCACATTCGAAAGGATAAGCTGTTTATTCAAAAGGACTCACTGAGACAGACTGATGAGATTGCTTACTTTCTGTTAAAGCCACAGGGACTTCTAAGAATGATTCTGAAGAAAATACCATTTGATCCAGTAATTCCACTCCTAGGAATTTACCTGAAGAAAACAAGATCCCTGATTCAAAGAGACATATGCACCCTTTGTTTGAATAAACAAAGTAGCAGTATTTACAATAGCCAAGATATGGAAGCAACCTAAGTGTCCATCAATGGATGGATGGATAAGAAGAAGTGGTACATATACACAATGGAATATTATTCAGCCATAAAAAGAAAAGGAATCCTACCATTTGAAACAACATGCATGGAGCTGGAGGCTACTATGCTCAGTGAAATAAGCCAGGTGGAGAAAGACAAGTACCAAATGATTTCACTCATTTGTGGAGTATAAAAACTAAGCAAAACTGAAAGAACAAAATAGAGGCAGACTCACAGGCTCTGAGAAGGGACTAGTGGTTACCAAAGGGAAAGGGAATGGGGAGGGCGGGTGGGAAGGGAGAAGGTGATTAAGGGGCAGTATAATTCACAATCACAATATAGGTAGGTCACAGGGAAGGCAGTACAGCATAGAAAAGACAAGTAATGACTCTATAACATCTTCCTATGCTGATAGACAGTGACTGCAATGGGCAGGGGAGGGGACTGGCGGCGGTGAGGACTTGATACTATGGATGAATGTTGAAACCACAATGTTGTTCATGTGAAACCTTCATAAGACTGTGTATCAATGCTACTATAATAAAAAAAAAAAGGAAGATTTTGAAGAACTAGTATGCCTGAAGTGACCAAGAGAGGTTAATTATTATGCTGTTGTCCATGTTACCTGGTTTATGGGTTTTTCTTGGGGGGTGGAGTGGCACCTTTGAACACAGGGGTTAGGAATGACAACTCTGTATGCAGTTGAAAATCTGCATATAACTTTTGGACCCCCCAAAACTTAACTACTAATAGCCTATTGACCAGAAGCCTACCTACTGATAACATAAAGTCAGTGAACATGTATTTGGTATGTTGTATGTGTTATATAATATATTCTTATAATAAAGTAAGCTAGGGAAAAGAAAATCTCTTTTCAAATTGTTGCAAATCTCTAAAAAATCTTTCAATATAATTATTGAAAAAAATCCACATATAAGCAGACCCATGTAGTTCAAACCCATTGTTTAAGGGTCAACTAAACTATATAGACGTTGAATGTTAACCTCTTTTACGACTGAAAGTTTAGGAACCATAATCCCTCCCCCACCATTCATTATATTCCTACTTTGTGCCTGATATATACTATGGTGGATGCTGGATATACTAGGTGAGCAAAGAAGACCTGCCCTATTGTAGCTTACATTTGAATAGGGAAGACAGACATTAGTCAAATAATGCATAAAAATGTAACTGCACATCCTATCTTTAGAGGAAAAATGTCAGTACTCTGAGACATGGATTAGGAGGGTAGGATCAAATTTGAGAAGGTCAAAGAAGGCTGGAATCTCAGGTGAA